CGCTCTTCATCTTGTAATGAGGGGGGAGGATCTCCTTTTCATCCACGAAAAAAAATACATTTTATTGGGACAACGGCGAAAATATCATTTGTTCATTTGTTACTCGATTTGCTACTCGATTTGCTACTCGATTTGTTCTCTCATTACTCGGTTACTTCATCCTTCCCTCCGATCGGAGGGTTGCACACTCCAACATCTAGAGTGTGCCTCTGTTTTTCTGTTTGTCTGCTGGTTTTGCTGCACCAGTTCATTATCATCATCAACCCCCTTTCACGCACGGTCGCGCGCTGAGTTTATTGAATGCCCATTACCGCGAGTAATATCTCCAGCTGAGCGACATTCGACTCGCAGGTGCTGGCTGACCTTCATCATGATGAGCGTCGTTCCTGGTGCTGGCTGGGAGGGACAAAAAAACCATCACACCGATTTTTCTTGCAGCCGTACTTCCTCTCAAACGATGACCACCCTTCGCTTCATTGCCGAGTTTACTGCCTTCTCCCCAACCATATACCAGGCGTACTCGACAAGGCATCAAGGCAAGGTGATGTGGCAGCTGCACTGACAACCTGCTGGAGGCGTCAATTCAATGATTGGCTCTCAAAAAACGCCCCAACAAGCGTTGGTCACAATTTCATCTCGGCGCGGAGCCTGATCAAGAACGGAATTTCTCCATGCACCACTGCACTATTCCCTGAAGACGGACAACACTCGATCCCATGTTAACAATCATGTCCGCAATCATGTCCGAGACTCGGTCGAACGCCATCGGAAACCTTCGCAGCCCGGGCGACAGAGACTCGGGGAGCTTGCAGAAGACTCCAAGGAATTCGATGCTCTTACCAGGCCCAGAGAGCGATCAAGAAGACGATGGATCAGGCGTGGCCATGGGGAAATTCCCTCGAACTCGAAAGCCGCAACGCATCAACAGGTCGCCAGCCGGCTCTGACTTGCAAACCGACAACTCACCCGGCGACACAATCCACGACTCGGCCGGCAGCCCGACCACCGAGAGCTCGGACCTGGAGGAACCGGGCGATTCACGGGCTGAGTTTGGAGCTGACATACTACTTGGTGTCGTTCTCGGAGCAGAATACAGGGTGGACAGGCTGATTCGCCAAGATAATCACTCAAATATATACGCCATCACTTGCGAAAGCGACATGACGGGTCCTCCAGATGCTTTTGAAGCTCGGGCATTCAGCATGGACGGACTCGACAAGAAGTTGATTCAGTACCGACAACGGAACATGCGACGCTTGCGCAATCGATCCTTGTGGGCTGGCACAGTGAACGGAAGGAATGTGATTGTCTACCGGAAAGACAGCTTGAACGATGCAGACGGGCAGTCAGGTGCCCCTCAGGCTGCAGCTCAAGATTCTTGCCGCCCAAAAGGCCGGGATCTACCGAACTCTCGTGTCTATGGCCCAACCCCAGCGCAGGGAAGCAAAGACTCTGCGAGAATGAGGCAGCAAAGGAGGCGCACAAGACAGCGAGAAGCGCAACGCTCAGCAACAGGCGACGATCCTCCCGAGACTGGCGACCATGCCGACCCTGGCGGGGAAACCGGGTCTGGGCGTCCGGGCACTAGTACTGGACCCCAACGGAATCCCAATGCCGAAGAGAGAACCTTGAACGCCCTTCTGGGCCTTCACGGCCTGATGCAAGACCGGAACTCCCGACTCGCCAACATTAGCCCTCCTCGCCTGATCTCGACCGGCGGCGACGCCAGCAATCACGCGCAAGCACTCGCGGGAATGCCCGCATGCCTGGGCGAAAACCCATTGGGTGGCATCAAGATCACAACCATGCAAGAATTAGGTAGTCTTGCAGCTGCCAAGCAGGAAGAGGCAAAGTTCCTCCAGACGCTGCAGGCGAAGCTCCCCCCTCTCCACAATAAGAAGACCAAACACTATCTTAACCTTTGCGGTCGGAAACGAGCTATCCACGGAGCTTTATGGGGCGATGCCCAGGAGGCTAAAAGAATAGCAGCATTGAAGGCATCCTATGTCAACCTCTGCGGCCGAGAACGAGCTACCCACGGAGCTTTATGGGGCGATGCCCAGGAGGCTCAGAGAATAGCAGCACTGAAGGTATCCTGCGCTCTGGGGGAGGTTGGTGACTTTGTTGCCGAGCTGCGGGAGAAGGCGGAGCTGTCACAAGCTGAGTTGACGAGACGGTGGCACTACGCGAAGCAAGAGCACAGGGCGTGGCACGAGGGAGGCCTTGGCGAGGATGGGGATCTGCCGCTGAGGCAAATGGGTGGGCGGCAAATGCTGGGGATTCTCGTTCCCTATACCCCAGTCTACAACAAGGTTCAGGCGGAGGTTGAAGCACTGGAAAGGGCTGCGAGGAATCGAGATCCTACTACTACCAGTGGTCTTTTTTGGGACCGATGGGGAGGTTACCCTATCTGATATTTCTGCAAACACAACATCGGGCTTTACATGCTTGTCCACCAGACTAGGGAGCGATTGGAATTTTGAGTCCACGTTTCACAGCGACACATAGTTTAGGTAGGTATATGTACTGATGGCTGGGAGGGGAATACGGCAGGTTCTGCGGATGCGAACAGTTCTTCCGGACGCAAAGAGAACTCTGGCGCTCGGTGGGGCATGAAGGATTGATCTCGAGACCTTTACAGCTCTAGGCGATCCGCGTTGTTTGTGTTGTGGCTCAGTAGGATCGGAAGTCAGACTGACGAATTGGACCCACGCTCGAAGCAAGAGTGCAGAACGCCTGGAGATATATACTGTTACGAGTACTGGAGCATTGGCCCAATATACCCGTTTCTTTTTTTTTTTTTTTTTTTTTTCGAATCCTTCTAGTCTCTCTACTACAAACCGCAAGTGACCATTGTAACCCCAAGGTGGCCCTCCCCTCCTATGATCATCCGAAGCAAGGTTGGCCGACACCAACAACCTGAACATTGAACAGCTCCCTATGATTTCCAGCAACACAGCCTGTTTGCTTTCCTCATTTCGTCATCCTCTCCTGCTGTTTGGCTTTGCGTGGTCTTCCCCTCCCTCTAGAGCCCGGGTTTCTACACTTTTTCAGATGAAGTTGGTGTTCCGATAGCAGCTCAGCTGTTGCGCTGCACCAACAATGGAAGGCGCCTGCCTTCTGGCATCGTGTCGGGGCTTTTTCGATGTGACGCATGTGGTGATCCTTGCGGGGCGATTTCGATCCGCACACACAAAGGAAATACGGCATGTTGGCGGACTGGTGAGCCTTGGCGGTCTGGACATGGCGCTCGAGAGATCTGGCGTTCGAGAAGGTTTGGCATCCGGTCAGTCCGCAACTGTATGTCTTGCGAGCATGCTTTTGGTTGCGGTGCCTCCTGGTGGTGATCTGTTAGCTTGCGGCTGGAGATAAAACCGGATACCCCTTACTTGAGCTGTTCACCGTCCCTGAAACGGTCACCACAGTCATCACATGTCTCAACGGCCAGCGCTGGGATCGCTGATGGCAGGTTTGCGCTCGGCCACAACGACTGAGCCAGACTCAGTCGGGTTCCGGTAATAGCGCCTTCGAGTGTAGATTCTGGGGGCGAGAGAGGAGGAAGAGAAATGTTGCCAAGAGTTAATGGTGAATGAGGGCGGCCAGAGTTTCCGTCAAGTGCAGGATTGACATAGTAACCGTCTTCAACAACGCTTGGCCTACATGGGCTCAAAGCAGAGTCGTAGAAAGCGTCAGATGTCCGTCCCGGGTCGCTCGACCAGAAGAAAGCAGGGTCGCTGAAATCATGGAATGGTTCATGGTCGGGAAGCTGTTCTAGTGAGTTGGGGCAGCCCCATCCTGCATGATGATCATGATTCTCCTCCTGAATAGTGAGAGCGCGGGCTTATACCCGCGCCCTTGTTCTAGCGCCAAAGCGGCGGCCTCCTGTGTTGAAGTTTTAGATGTTCAAGTGAGTGCTAATCAAGTGTCAGCCTCAGGTCGAGCAAAACGTGCTGAATGCGGAGTGTTGGATGAGGATAGGCTTACGTCGATGGGTTTCCGGCTACCTGCCAGGTAATGGTATGGTAGACAGCGGTAGTGATGGGTGAAGAAAAGTTGAAAATTTTGAATTGCTGAGGGGAGCACGCGACTAGCAATTTATCGGGGGAGAATGTGTCGTTTTGGGGCCATTTTTCTCGGTGGTCGATGAGCACCCGATTGATCCAATGATTGGTTCACAAAATTGGCCCGACGGTTGGGTGCGCACGCCGAGGTGCGTAAGGCACCCAGGCACCCTGGCTCGGTGGGAGAAGGTACGCCAATGATCAAGCCCAGCGAAGCTGAAGAGGGCCGAGCTGGACTGGGGCCATTTTTCCTGGGACCGGAATGAACAGCACATGATGGGTCTACCATTTGGGCCATTATTCTCAGAGGTTTAAACATCTCTCGTCTCTGCCTCCAAAAAAATAAAAAATTGGCCTCGAGTCGCGCTGTCGTTTCGTTGAGAGCCAGCAACCAGCCAGTGATGTGGATATGAGACGATTGGTCCTTCCAACGCGGTGATAGTGCCTCACTACTTTAGATCGCGGCAATGCTATCCTGAAGAGGAAGTATAAATATGGGATATGTTCCCCTCGAGTCCCAGCAGGATTAGACAAAGTAATCGCCCCTCTTGCATCCCCTGAATCTCACCGATACAACTCCAAATATCTTTTCACAATGATAACTCCGCACAAAGATGCAAATGCCACAAATTGCGGCAGCAAAGAAGACACAACTCCGATGCAGCGGTGGCTCAGCCAGAGCCCAAGTGACGAGCCATGGCAAAACATCTGCTCCATTTCAACTCCGAGTCCCTATCGAGGCGTTTCCAGTCAACGTACCGGGACTAAGACGAGCACGAACAAAGGCTGGAGTTCCAGAGCAACCAAGGGAAGCTCTTCCGGGAAATAGCCAACTACTATTACGTAAGCAAGAGTGACAGAAAAAAGAAAAAAAAGAGTAAAAAGACTATTGAAATTCTCAGCTAATCCACCACCGCATAAGGTCCAGGGGCAATGCATTGATCCACCCAGGTCTCGGACCTGGAAACCTCCTGACTCGTAGTCAGACGCTCTACCATTGAGCCAGCGGACCCCGCTTGTTTCTTGGAGATGTGTGTGGTTGTATCGCTTTTGTTTGTGGGACTCTCGATGGGAACCGGGGGGTTGTGGTTGAGTTCGCAGGCCCGGCCGGCCAGGCTAAACTTTGGGCTTATTGAGCGGCTCTTTCATCCAGTCCGAGTGCTAGCTAGGGTTGAATAGGACTGGCGGGGTTGCATTAGTTGGGTTGGCGACGAGACTCTGTAACGGCAGCGGCATAATTTTAGAATTCCAGCTTGAAACACCTAGACTCCTGATAACCTGTTTGCCAGCAAGATGTGAGCATGCATCAACTTTCACAGTCCGACAACATGGACAAAAGTGGTTTTTGGTCAGGCTGTCGTTACATCGTATCCTGTACATATTACGTTGCAGCAGTCGGATGTTGTGGCCGGTAGGCCAACAAGTGCGCGACCGTTTCATTTTGCGCCCTCCCTTGGTGCCTTCCCCACTGTCTCCTGCGCGGCATTCATTGATGAACAGATTTTGCATGCTTCAAAGTCACGATGGACGACCCCGAAGGACTTGCTCTCACGGCTGTCAATAGCACGGTCCAGACACGAGCATCGACATTATCGAGCTGAGGCTGGATCACGCCAGTTACTGGCCAGAGGAACGGCTAGAGGTCTTCTAGCGCTGTTACTCGGTGCGTCCACGGATCCCAAGTATCCCGCGGTTCTCTATCTGTTCGAAGGCATCGTTAACCAGGCCAAAAGAAGTACTAACTAACAGGGCCGGAGAGCCAATTAAGACTCCCGACGTCCCTGTTTGAGAACCATCAAGAAGGAGCCCATGTTTTCCTCGACTTGGATGACGACCCATATGAATGGCGTCGATGCCCCGTGTGGCATTTCCTCCACGACGCTAAATCTTTCTATGTGGCTCATCTCTCCAGTGATCATAACCTTTGTTTCATATGTGGTTCTTCACTTCAGAGAGCTCTGGAGTCTCACGAGGAGGAGGGATGGCCTAATCACAAACCCGGTCCACCGGTTTACTGGCAGAGTCATGCGAGGTATTGGTGTATGCGAGTTAGAGTGAGAGTTGTTTCTGCAGTCCCCGAGTTAACTTGTCTCTGTGCTGCGGGGTTCGGAGCATTTTTCTTATTTTCCGTTCTTATCATTTCACAGATTTCAAGTTTATCAAATGGGTTGGATGGCCCGGCAAATGCTCTCGTTATCTGTTCTCTAGCTGATATTTTTACTGATTACGGTTTGGGGATATTTGTACTGGACAAGGCTCAGGTTTTATCAATAAGAACGCAAGACCACTCACCTACGCCCAGGCCCCAATTTACTGACCTGACTGTGGGTTCATGTGTGGGGGGAAAATGTCGATTAATGCCTCAGGCTGAGAAACTCTGCAGAAGCATCACTAATTAATATGTCCAGTAATATCAGCCGCAAGGGAATGCCCGAAGGCCGGAAACCCCGCAAGCTCCCATATATGCTAACAACAAACACCCACGATCCTAGAGGAAATACTCTCCTAGAACGCAACGACGCCGGTGAGATCCGCCTAACTCAAAACTTTCTCGGTGGTGTCCCAAATTATGCAGTACTTTCGCCATACCTGGGGTGCCGAGGAAGAGGAGGTCAGCTTCCAAGATTTGGTGGACGGTACGGGGGAGGGCAAGCCTGGCTATCACAAGATCCGGTTCTGCGCGGACCGAGCTTGGCGTGATGGTTGAGATACATGCTGCATCGATAGGTCGAGCAGCACCGAGCTCCAGGAGAGCATCAACTCCATGTTCCGCTGGTACCGCGATGCGGTCAAATGCTACGTTTATCTCGCCGATATATCGACGACTGATGCCAGCTCAGACCCAGCTTTTCTCTTCAAAAAGAGCAGACGGTTTACTCGCGGCTGGACCCTTCAGGAGTTCGTCGCCCCTGCATCAGTCGAGTTCTTCCCTAAAGAGGGTGTATACCTCGGGAGCCAGAAACTCCTAGAGCAGGCCATTCACGATGCAACAGATATCCCTCCCGGTGCCCTCCGAGGTGGTCGTCTGTCTGAGTTCAGTGTCGCCGGGCGAATAAAATGGATACAGAAGCGAAGCACGAAACGACAACAAGACAGGGCTTACTCGCTGCTTGGTATGTTTGACGTGTACATGCCGCTCCTCTACGGCGAAGGAGAGAAGAATGCATTCAGACGTCTGAGAGGGGAAATTGGCAGGACTTCAAGAGGCGAGGCAAAAAGAACAAGCGAGTTTCCGGGAATCTCTACATTTCGCAGCCCGCTCACTTCTTTGACGCGGTCAATGGCTGCTATGTAGGCGAGGCTGTTTTGTGGTGTGTCTTCAGCCACCATGTATCAATCACCGACATGCTAGGCCCTGTCCCTGTTGCTGAGCCGTGGCAAGTAAGGAAGGAACAGTCAATAATGACAGCTGCCCCGCCAGTAGGTGTGTTAGGAAGGCGCATATAGTACACTTATCTCAACACAAAGTCCAGCGGTTCTTTACCCCGCTCCCTCGCGACCGCAATCAACTTGCCAAACATGAGCGGAGGGATGATGCAAGGCCCACTCGCTCCCAGCTCGCCCTCATCCTCCATCCTCACCACAAACAGCACCTTCCCACCCAAAAACACAGCAACATGGTCGCCTGGCCTCGCGTTCGCAGGGGCAAGATACGGCAGCCCACGCTCCCGGATCTCAAAACACCGCGTCCGATGCTTGACCGGGTTAAACGGCTGAGCATACAGCCCCTCAGCCCCATATCCATAGCCAGGGATCAGGTTCAGCATGTCGTACACGATCGCTGAGAAGTCAGACGTCTCCTCGATAACCGTGACCAGGTGCCCCTGGACGCGGAGCACTCCCGTCTCGTCGCAGGACTGCACGGGGGCCTTGGTGTTAAGCCCGCCGGCGAACATCTTGGTCAAGTAAGCCACCGGCGTGGTAGTACCTTTTTCACTAGTCAGCAGCCGTCACGACTTCCATACCCCCACGAGAGACATACCAAGCACTCCGAATCATGCCGACGAGCTTAATCACCGTCTGCTCATACATCCACCCCTGCGTCAGACACTCAACCACCTCGGCCTGCGCCTTTGTAAACTCCTTGACCTCCAATCCTGCCACCTTGGCCGCCGTATGGTACATATCCCGTGTCAACCTCACTGCCGATCTCTTGAGCGCTGGAAAAGAGTCAAATTTCACTCTTATTCAGACTTTCCGAGCGAGTGTACGTTACCTGACCGGATGAGCTGCCAGCGGCGGGCCATCATCAATGGCCTTGGGTGGTGAGCAGCCCATATCCACAGAGAAAGAGGTTACCACTATAGCGATGCGTTTCGACTGTGCTTAGTCGAAGTGGTGGAGTTTCTCTCACAAAATTTGGGCAAGGCTCTGGCAAGGCAGATGAGGGGCTGCGGACGATGATTTACGCTGAACATTCTGGGATTTCAAATGGGTTGTGGTCTAGCCAGTCGTGACAGCTTGAACATCTGGATCTGTGTCCCAAACAAGTCAAGCCCATCCTTGTAGGCTATGCGGCTGGTATAATGATGCCTTTTTGTCGAAACCGACTAGCAGGATTTGGGAAAGAGTACATCATTGATACCTAATCAATCTGTCTAGAACTCACATTGATGCAAGTTGACTTACATTATCAACCTTGACAAGACTTCTAGGGGGGTGTGATATGGTATGCTCCAGTTAAATACGAACGCAACAGCAGCAAAATGTTCCGACTCGATGCAACAAGAGAAGCACTTGAAATAGGTCTAACGGCAACTGTCTCCTGTAGAACAGTCCCGTTTATGACATCGATATCAGTTCCGGCATGCCCTCACCACGCCCGGCTAACCCTGAGTAAGCAGTACTCGTAACCCCTATTCCACCCACCCAAAAAGCCAAAAAAGCGCCAAAAATCCCCCAACCCGTCCGTCACCCCACCAGTTCATACATCCCCCTCCCCTATTCATCCGCATACGCCACATGCTGCGCACACAACAACCAATCCGCGCCCGCCGTCTGCCTCCAGCTGCTGCTCGCCGTCGCCACAACCTCCCTGATCCCGCCCTTCTTACTCGCCTTGAACAAGCTGACCTTGTACACCAGCGCGACCGCCATGAGATCGATCTCGACGACGAGGGGGTCCCCATGGAACCGGAACCCGGTCCAGGGCTCCCCGCCCTTCAAGACCTCTTCAATACTGGGACTCGTGTCCTTGCCCATGGGCTCGTCGGACCCCGCGAACAGCGGATTGATCATGACGCAGTCCTCGGCCATGTACTCCTTGGCGGCCTCGGGCGAGTCGCAGAGCGCGCGCCACAGCAGCGTCTCAATCTCGCGCGCCGCCGCGTGGTTGCGCTTGCTGATGGTGTCGAGCCGCTTGTTGCCGCCCATCTTGTTGGAGCTCGAGTGGTAGCCGCCGTCTCCGTTGGAGGGAGAGGAGGGCTTGGAGTCGCTTGTTAGACCGAGCACGGCGGGCATGGGGGTTGCTGTTTTTTTTTTTGTCGCGGGGGGGTGGGGGGAGAGGGATAAGTGTTAGGGTTTAGTATAGCGGGTTGCGCGGTGGTGCTAACGCTTGGCGTTGGGAAATGGTTTTCTTTTTGGAGACAGTGATACCGATGTAGTAAGACCCGAGAGGAAAGTAAAAGAGGGATGATGCAACGTGGGAAAGGCGCCCCTATTATTTATCCAGGGACCAGACTCATGCCGGAAGGGTTGTCGCCTGTATGAAAATCAAGAATTTCCAACTTTGAAAACGGGTGGGCAGCAGGCCCGTTTCAACCACATCCATGGATGTCATACTTGACGTCACAACCACCGGTCATGCAGGGCGGGAAACTTGCAGCGCCGCTTCACGCCCCTCCACCCCTCGGCACCCCTCGATTTCTGGCGATCGTCCTTGGCCAAGCCACAACCACCAAGCCAGTCAGGCTGCTCTCCCGACTTTTATCACCTGCGAATGGGAGGTCTTGGTCGATTTGTTGTCTGCCAGCTGCCCGAGTCGCACACGAAACAGAGAAGCCTCTGGAACTA